AAACAGGTCCACTTCACCCAGCTGAGTAACTCTATTTTTTTCTTTTTTTTTTGAGAATTCCACTCCTGGATAAATTTTAATTTGGTAAGCTTTTAAAATTCATCTTACTAAATATAAGAGATATAACATACCTAGTATGCCTCCATACTATGTTATCTGAGTACAAATACACACCTACCATTAATTTTAGCTCAGCCATAAGGTTGCTAAAAAGTTTCAAAGACACAAAATGGAACACATTATGTTGACTTTCTAGAAGCTCCACAACCATGTTCAATACATCAGGATCCCATGGAATATCTGCCAGTTGTACCTTTTCACAACTGAAGAAATGTGGTTTATTCAGAGATTGTTGGAACATTTCCAAAAAAGTCAGAAATAAAAATGCTGTTTGAGGCTGGCATTCTTTGTTCACTGTTGGTCCTCCTCTGTAGCAGACTAGATTGACCAAACCATTCATCTCCTGGGTAAGAATTTCTGAAAAAATTAATAACATTTAATATAAAAAAAACTTCATCAAAAATCCTTTAATTTTCCATTATTTACCTTCTAATTTTGTGCTAGGTTTTTTTTAACATTGACAAAGAAATAAATAGTAATAGTTTTCTATTCTTGAAATTATAAATCATGCAGTATTGAACAAATACTGAAAAAGGTATTTTGTGGTTCATCAACAAGGAGTCCTTCACATGCTACATACATCAACAGTCAGAATGTAAACATGACTGAATGGTTCTTACATGTAACTTGATCTTTACCACAAAAGGCAAGTATCTCCCTGTAAAACATTCAGAGAATAACTTACTAATAGCAAGACCACATGATAAACCACAATTCCAAACAAACTGAAGTAATAAACAAAACAACAGAGACGTCAAAGTACACAATACACATTGGAAAGATACTTTTCTGATGAAATAGGTAAGAATTTTAGAAGACAACAAGTTACAATAAGTTACTATAAAATATGATTAGCTGGATAACTGGTGCATAGAGACAAACAGTTAAGTAAGCAAAAAAAAGATCTGAACAGGAGCAGTAATATGTATGTAATATACAATAAACTGTGGATTTGTCATACAAATCATAACATGTGCTCAAAAATTATATCACGTCCAGGGAATGTAAAAATTCTCAGTGCCCCATAAATAAGTCAACTTCTTAAATAAAAACTCTAAAGCCAGCCCAATAACTACAGTGCAGGATACATACATGGTGTAAGACTAAATGTGTCATGTGAAACATGATACAAGTTTAAAAAAGTGAATTATGGTAACAACAGCTAAGCCTAAACCTGTTTTATATGAAAGTAGTAGAAGAAACTTGTTTGCTAATTCTTGAACTATCATTGATTAAAAGTACAAGAAGTCAAAGACTTAGGGAAAAAACTGAACAGCACATGACTGTTGGTCACATAAGTCAAAATGTATTTCCCCAACTGAATGGGTAAGAGTTCCATATGGCACCCCCACTCAATTTAAAAAAAAATTCATCAAAGTAATATTTATGTATTAATAAATCATATTAATAATATGATCTGATAATTTTAATACATTATTATACCACTTACTTCATTAATTAGATGTACAATATTCTTGGGGATAAACTTTACAAATGTCTTGTATAAAGGCATCAAAAAGGCTACTTTTATCAGAATATAATGTTCTCCACATGTATTCACACAAATGCTTGTCAAAGCCATGCCCCAATTTTTCTAATACGCCCCTTAAAATAAACTCTTTTCAGAATCTTTTTTATCCAGGCAAATCTACAATTTTTGGGTGGGGGTGCCATATGGAACTCTTTCCACTGAATGTAATTGTAAATTAGAAAAAGCTTGAGCCACAAAGTACTGTCAAGGAAATGTCAATAAAATGATAAATATTGTAAAGTTTTATCAGTAATTTTTGTGACAATTTTAGATCACCAGACATGTCAGAATCAGCATATGCAAAGTTATGGCTGCAGAAATGTCATACATGTATACAATGTGTGCTAAAAATTAAGCCAGTAGATAAAAAAACAATTTAAATTCAAACAGAAAAAACTGATAAATAATGTTGCTTACTAAAAATTGGTTTGCAAAGGGTTGTCAGTGCCTGGCCATCAGAAATATTGAAACCTGATTTTTTTTAGCATCATAAGCACATAGACTTACAACTAAGCCACTGGGGTGCACTAGAAATGAAGATGGCCAGTTTCAATTTTACACAAGATATTACAATTATTAAGTAGTCTGCGTACAAAAGAAAAAAATTCTTAAAGTTTTATTTTAACATATTATGTTTAAAAAATGAACTATATCCAATAAACACAATATCTTTATAGTACGATGACATCATCTTTGTTGCTATTACTACTATTCTCTAGTAGATAAACTAGTTGAAACATGACAGACTTGGTTTACAAAGTTCTAGTATATGTATGTGGTATGGTAAACCAAAGATTATATAATATATATCTTGAACAACAAATTCAAATGAAGCTTGCTTTATTTGACATGAAGCATGGTTCATGTCTCCCACCCCTAGAAATTACATTCAATTTCAAGTAAAGTCCAAAAGTTATGGATCAGTACCTCAAAATTTTCAGCAATAATAATAATATTGGTGCATGTACATACTTTTATGTTTCAATAAAGTTTTGATTATTTTACAAGCATGTTTATTTGCTTACTGTAATTTTAAATAACCAAGACGCTACTATTGCCACACTCAACACACCCCAACCTTGAGCCTTCAAATTACTGGAAGGTGTGGAGTATGTGGCCTGAAGATGATGAACATTCTGCTACCCTGATCAAAGAAAAGGCAGGTAATGAGTACAACACTGTGCCAGCAACAGGTATATAAAATTATAAACTACAGACTGAAACACTATTATACGTTATATAACTTTATAAGGCATTATTATCCAAATACTTATGTAGTACTATGATTGACTTACCCCTAATAACTTTTTGCATACGATGTTTACAAGCATGTTCAAAAATCCATGCCTTAACACCTGAAAGTGAAGAATCTGAGGAATCCATCCTTCCCTCAATTTTCCCAACCATCTTAGTAATAGTAATTTTTAGTAAACTGTATTGTATCGCTTTTAATAAACATCAATCTCAAAAACCCCTAGTCTGGTAAGCCTAATCTTAGACTAGTTAAGACCGACACACGATTTAAGTTTTAACTTTAACCTATAACAGTACAAGTTATAACTTAATCTTAAGCCAGTCTTTCAATCTTAGTTAGAACTGACACAGTAATCACTGAATCATGACTGATACTAAATGATAGTGATAAGTTATTGTTATAACTCGCTGCGTTAGTGCCGTGATACAATTTATTTATACATACAGCGTTATTTTATCTTTAGAATAAATAATTGCTATTAAAGTCACCACACGAAACTAAAGTAATAGCAGCAATAACCACGGTATGTATTAACAACAACGGTAGATTTATTAACTTCCCGACTAACAAAGCAAATGCAACACACACAAATCACATCCGGGACGCCATTGTACAATTCTAATTTCAAATAGCAGTATAGCTTTATTTATATCATGGCGTCTAATATGTTCCAGAGCCCAAATTAACAGATCAAAATATTTGTTTGGTGTGTATGCCTTTTACAAGCTGGTGAAGCATGATTACAGTTATACTTGTCATAATACATTAGTATTAGGTCTATTACATTTTTAAACACTACATTCTTTATCTAGTCTCTAAAGGATTTTAAAAGATTAGAAGAGTGTATAATAACAGTATTCCAACATACAATATTTGTAATATCTATTGCCGACGACGCGTTTCGCTCAGTCAAGAGCTTTTCAGGCTAGCTGGGATACAACAAACACATAAATTGTCAGAACACTAATTATATAAGCTAGTTGATACAACAGCAGTTGTTATAGCGTGTACACCTTTTACAAGGTAATCCCAATCAGCCTGAAGAGCTCTGGATTGAGCGAAACGCGTCGTCGGCGATGGATATGACAAATATAGTATTTTGGAATACTATTATTATACACTCTTCTAATTCTTTAAAATCCTCAAAGGAACTAGATAAAGAATGTAGCGTTTAAAAAATGTAATAGGTGTCTTATGACAAATATAAGATCAAAGGATTTGTTTGTTAATTTTTAGCACAAACCTTTAAAATGGGCTATCTTTTGGTGCCCAACACATTAACACTCAATAACTAACTCATTAAATGACATTTATATCATGACTCATTTCCTAAATGGTACAGGAAGTTTCTAGATTTTGGCATAACAACTAGCTTCTTCTTGCAAACAAACATTTAAATTAAAATGTTACAAATGTAACTTACAACAATAACAATAGACCTCAGTTTCTTATTGCATAAAAGATGATGAATTGCACTAGTTACCTTATTTAGCAAACAGGAATAATACAGATTAAGGATGTTACCATCTGCTGGTGTTATCTGATTTGCCAACAATAATAGCTCAGCTTGCTAATTAATTGCTTTATTATTCCTGTAAGCAAACCATATAATTGTTTAATTGCATGATTCTCCATTCCCTCACATAGAAAGAAAACGTTTAGTAACCATAGAGTTGTATCTTTAACACCAGAGTGTGCACTTGTCACGTAACGCTGTGACGACAAGGGGAATCCGCTGCCATTATCAAAACGGGCAGGAGTCAAAAGATCTGCTAAAGAAAGAAATGAAATGTTAAAGAACCCATGTCTGCTCAAATCGAGAGAAGAAGAAGAAGGCCGTCTCTTTTCACAAGTGTATATATATATATATATTTCACCAATTTACTGACAATACAACCATTAGAGACAAAACTTATTAATGTTTTGAGAAAGTTATTATACACTATTGTTACGTATCTGCTTGTTTGATAATTTCCGGTAAAAATTCTTTCCGAGTGACTTCAGCAATACAAGCCCCTTCTTGATTAAAACTAGTTTATTCTTTCTCGTTACAAACTTTGTAATACACAGAATTTCCACAGTCACTTTAAACTTAACTACTTTTATAAACACACGCTACAATTCATAGCGGTTCACACACTTTAGTTACGGTTTGACTCGATTATCTCTATCTTCAATCTCTCTATCTATGCCTGTCTCTGCAATTCTATCTGGCTTTATTTGCCGGGCTTATATACTAAAAATAAGGGCACCTGGAACAGACTGAAATTGCCAGGACAATTCAGGATCCTTTGAGAATCTCATCATGTGTTACCAGAGTCACGTGACTTCCGCTGTTGTAACATTAGCACTAACAATGTACATTTATTTGTCGTGTAGTCTAGCAGAGGGTGTACATGAATAGATTAGTCAGAGATCTGTGCTCAGGAGTAGAAATAATGGGGTTTGAAAGTCCCTCAAAATATTTGTGCTGCCAGAGGGTCCAGAACTCATGTGGTGTTTGATCATTTATGATATAGCCATCTAAAGCCTTAATAACAAATGTTTAATTGACATTAAACAAAATGCTAAGATTTAAACTGTATAACCTTGTTGACAAGAATTTGTCAATGTTAAGATATCAATTGTCGTTTCGCAGCCCTATATTCAGCGACAGTAATGTACAGTATGAACAATATTTGAAGGTTTAATTAGGTACAATATCATGAATGTAATTGTAATATGTGATAGACAAAATGTTAAAGATGTGAAAGTCACTGTCCTAGCTATGGATGGGAGCAAAGATTTCTAAATAGACTAGATCATAGCTGAGCAGGTATGCTATGAAAAAATAAATAAATTGCTGCAGTTCTCTTCCCTATACGACACCTAGTGATATCTCTCCCTCCTTTTTATGCAGGTATAAATTAAATTAAATTATCCTAGTAAATGTTGAAATATCATTTGCCAGAAACTACTTTTTAGTAGTATATATATAGTAATATAAATATATGGGTGTTGGGCTAAGAATTATTTTACAGTAGGGTCTATGACTTGTTGGCGATAAATTCGACAGTAAACAAACAGCACGCATTCCACTTATTATTAGAATAATATATTCAAAGTAAGTTAAACACATGTACAATAATTCTCTGCACTACGGAGATCATAGTTGTATCTTAAACACTATACAGTTCTCTTCTTCTTTTCAAAAGTCTACATAGGCCAATTCAATTACTTTAGAATTCAGTTGACAAGCCGAAATATTTTTCTCTATTTCTATCGCAATAGTATCCGTGTATAATTCACTTAAGCTGTCGCGTGTTGTATCCTTAACTTCCAATAATCGTCTGCTTTTGGTCAAAGTCAACACAAGCAGGTTCAGTTAGCTTAGAACACCCATTGACGAGACAAATTATTTTCAATATCTCTTTTGAACTGTTAATTTCACTCTAACATATCAACCATTAGGTCTTTCACTCCTACGATGGTTAACTTTGCATTTTATACTTTTTCTTTGATCGAAATCTTCTTTCACGTGACTTTACTTTTACTCTCTCTCTGTTCCTGCTCATCTGGTCACAGCTATTTATACGTCTATCACTTAGGCCTTCTAGAAATTTGGATAGCCTCGACTCCAATGAATTACAGACACAAAATTAATTAATTAATAATGCTGCACTAAACAGTGTTTTATATCTGACATCATTATTAAGCAAACATAAGCAACATAATTAAATTTGATTATTGGTAGGAATAAAAAACTTGGTTGTCTTAAACATGACCATATTATATGAAACTCTCTCTCAATATTTTTCATGTGGTACATAGTAAGATCTTGGAGACATTCAAAGATTTCACTTCCAACTATGAAAAATAAAATCATTTAAAAAATTTTCTTTTTTAACTATAGGGCGGGGACACATAGTACGTCCCTCGTTCTACAATTTTCTCAGTAAATGAGCAATAAATACTAGACCCAACACAACAGTTTGCGGAACTTTTCACTACTTTAACTTTGATATTTAAAACAATGTAATTTCCAACTAAGATTCTAAACTATCTCATACTTAAGTTTATTTGAGTGATGGAAATGAACAATACAGCTAACTATTTTATGCGTTTTTGTTTTAATAATCTATTATAGATTACATACAACACAAGCATCTGTAAACATGCTTTCTTTAGCATTTTAAGTTTAAGGGCATCAGTTACATATATTTTAACGAGCTTTTAATAGTTTTTTAATTCATTTTATTAACACATTTTTTAAATATTTAAAAATATGATTATTGTAAAGGAACACCCTCGCCCTCTCTCTCTCCAGTAGGCATGGAAATATCTGGGGTATTTCCGTAGAACTGGAAGACGTAGTAGCCTTTGACATAATAAGATACGTATTCGTACGCCACTAGCATTAGACCTTTTAATAACAGTAGCCAGGTGCTAGAAGCTCATTCTTTATTATTCGCGCTTTTTTCGTAAAATAGTGACAATGCAGAGATGGGTTGGCCGTGTTGCACTTGTTACCGGAGCTTCAGTAGGTATTGGTGCGGAAATTTGTCGAGTATTTGTAAAGCATGGAATGAAGGTTGTCGGATGTGCTCGTGATGTAGATAAAATTCGATCCATTTGTGAACAAGAAGATATAAAGTCAGCAAAGGGTTCTCTAATGCCGATCAAGTAAGTTTAATTTATAAATTATATTCACACACCTACGCGCGGAGTCGCTTGAACCTCCTGTTTTTGTGATGTAAACAAATTATGTTTATACTTTTATAATTATAACTTATAGCACAGCTGCTTAAGCTAAGATGTTTAGTATGATCTACTAGTACTAAAGAGCCTTTCAGTTTAAAGTGTCATTTCAAGAAATATTAAATAGAATAAGTTAATGAATTACAGCCTTGCAATATGCATTCTGTCAAACTGAATTGTTCACATTAGCTATCAAATGATAAAAGCAAAAAAATCATTGTAACCTTATTATCATTAAGACAAGTCTTGCCCCTTGTTAGTGTTACCTGAATACCAACGTATTGGAAAGAATGTAGAAATTGGCTATTACTATTAGAATGATACGTGGTTTATATTTGGGGTAATACTAATAGGCTTGAGCTTTTGAAGCCCAAATGCAGGTTCATTCTTTGACTGATTCATCAAAACTGTACTAAGTACATTACCCAAATACATCCTAATGCACGAGAAAAAACATAGCCTCTAATTTATTTAATATTCTACAAGTTGCATTAAAATATAAACTTTATGACATTTACTGTAGATCTGTCACTAGTATTCATATAATTATGTTTTCAGAAGGCATAAAGACAACTTATTTTATAAAAAGTTAAATAGTATAAGTTTGCAGTTATAAGTACTTTTAAAAGCATGCAAAATATGTATCCTGTTAGTGTAAATTACTTCTCCACCTGAAGTAATGCAGTGAAGAAACTGTGTGTATTGAAGTCCTCACCTGGTGTATTGGATAATAATCCAATAGCACAGTTTCACACAAAAGTGCATTGCAGAATCATTGTGTATTCTAGTTTCCTTATCTATTGTACTGAGAACAAATTTGGAATGTAAATTTTGCACTTTGTACACTGAACAGTCATATTGTAATTTGGCATGTTTTCCTATGACATTCCCTCTTTAGAAAGTAGGATCATTTACAGTCTTTCAGTTATTATGAATTTCATCAGTGTCATGGAATTTTTTTTTTTAAATAACAGTTAAACACCATTTGTTCAAAACTTTTCAAGCTCTTAGGATCTAACCTCAACATCGAGAGCTTTACTTTCTCCAAAACATCTTTCTTTTCAGAAGATAATACTTTAAGAAAAGCTTCCTCCACACTCTAAAGAAATTAACCAAAGAAAGTATCTCTTTTTTTCTTCATAATCAGGAAAAATACAGGTCAAAAAGTTTACCTTTATTCCGTACTAAAATTTCTGAGAAATGTTTTTAAAAACAAAAATTAACCATCTCTCTCACTTGGCAATCCAGATTAGCATAAGAGCTGTTACATCAAATTATGTTTTAAGTATTTCATTTCACAGTCTTTCTTTTCATTAACAATAGCTTTCTTTGCTTTTTAGGATATTTTCTATAAACTCTAGCATCTCGTTTTTTGAAAGTAAGTTTTCCTTATTTTTGTAATTTGTTTTTATCACTCATTAGTAATCTATTTCTCCTATACGTCTATTTGTGCATGTGCTTTAATTGGAATACAAATTTCTTTTTTCAGCTACTTAGATGAAATTACTAAAAATATACAAAGGTTCATTAAGATTTTTCCAACTTAGACTGGCTACTAACCTTTTCCCCATTCTTTGTTCCTTTTTTCTGAATTTTAACAAATTCCAAATTTTGATACAACATTTATGAAATATTTATTTAAAGATTATTATTCTTTTCATGTTCATATTTCAATCATTAACTGTTCTTAACATTTCTAGTTAATGTATTTGTAAATTATTTTAAGACATTTTTGAAAACTTAAAAAGCTTTTGTTTTATCTCTAAAAATGTTTTCTTTTTTTATCAGATGTGACCTGACAAAAGAAAATGAAATCTTGAGTATGTTTGAAGAGATCAGAAAAACTTATGGTTGTGTTGACTTGTGCATTAACAATGCTGGAATTTCTGAAATTAATACTACCTTACTTGAGGGTGATACAGACTCGTGGAGACGAATGTTAGAGGTAAAATTTGAACATTTGTACTTATTTTTTAAATTGTTGTATCTAAACTTACTTGTATCATATTGTTTTTGATCTTAGGTGTCTGTAGAGAATAGTAAATTTATTTTTCTATTAAATATTTAAATATCACTTTTTTTTTCTTTTCAGTAAATGTTTTCTTAAAATATTACATATTATGTTATCCATTTCAATCAAATATACGTGTATTATTATTTTTAAGTTATTTTATAAATATCTCTTGAAGCTCTATAATTAAAGGCTACAGCAGCCTGTTTCAGTGGAACTTTAGTTAGGTGTGAGAACTTTAATAGACTGCAAATACCTGTTAAATGAAAAGAATACTATGTTTGGGGAATCAGTAGGCTTTTATTTACTATATATAGTCTTTGTTAAAGAGACCTTAAGTCAATCTTAAGTAGTATGTATTCTTTCATTCATTTTGCTTTATTTTACCATTATCACTTTTACATTGAATAACTGGTGAAATGTTCTAAAGACAATAACATTTGCCGGATTAAACTAAAATAATGTTTACTTTTAAATGAGAATTTTATCACTTATTATATTATCCATTTCAATCAAATATACGTGTATTATTTGTTAGGTGAATGTAATCGGCCTCTGCATCTGTACAAGAGAGAGTGTTAAGCTTATGAGAGAAAATAACATCAATGATGGCCAGATTATCCATATTAGTAGGTAAGAAAACAAGTTTTGTCACTGTAATTTATAATACTTCTGAAAGTATTTTATGCACTATTGGTTTTTATAACTAGATTTTGTATAATACACAAGTTTTTAATAGAAAAGAATCAAATTTTGTACATGTTTCAAAAAATTTTAGATTAGAAATGTCAAAAATTGCTATAGTATGTGGTTAAAACAAAGTAGTTTATGAATATTCTTGTCTGATGATGCACCCTTTGTTTTTTTCACCGACAGCATGTCTGCATATCGGATTGCACCAGGAGGTTTTGCTTTTTATTCGGGAACCAAGAGTATGGTGAAAGCATTAGCAGAAGGACTCCGAAATGAATTGCGAGCTGCTAAGAGTGGAATACGTGTAGCTGTAAGTATAGATTTCGTGGTAGCATGAATTAATTTTACATATTTATACAATAAATACAACATTTTTTTATTTTGTAACTGTATATTTTCATTGTTCATAAAGTTTTAAATTTGTATAAAAAAGAAGCGTATAAAATGTAAAACAGGTTGATGTAAGTTATTTAATATTATATAATTATTCAAAGATTTACTGCTATGAACAAATATTCTCAAAAAAGAAGTACTTGTTTTTTAATTATTGCAAAATTAGATGAGCTGTAAATTTTTTTTTTTTCCCTCTGAGAATTGTTTCACGCAATTTCACTTATTTTGTTTTCATTCTTCATCAGTGCATCAGTCCAGGGATGGTTGACACTGAATTTCACAAACGTTTGTTCAAAGATAATCCTGAAGAAGCAAAACGTCGGGTTTCTCAGTTCACCTGTTTGAAAGCAGAAGACATTGCTCGAGCAGTTGTTAACATCCTTGAGATGCAGCCACATGTAGATATCAATGACATTTTAATTCGTCCCACAGAACAACCTTTTTAAATTCCTAACGTCGGGTTTCTCAGTTCACCTGTTTGAAAGCAGAAGACATTGCTCGAGCAGTTGTGAAAATCCTTGGGATGCAGCCACACGAAGATATCAATGACGTTTTAAAATCGTCTCACGGAACAACCTTTTTAAATTTTTAATGTGACGATTAAAATAATATTGTGACAACTGCTTTCATTTCTTTTTTTTTTCTACATTTGAATTCACACAAAGTCTAGTTCCTTATAAGTATAACAAATAATGATTTCATTGAATAAAATCCTTGTATTAAAAATATTGAGTAATTAATTATGGCATTTTAACTTTTTGTTTTCATTAACTACTTTTTATGAAAAAAAAAATTGAAAAAATTACATTTAATTAGAAGTTCTAAGAAGCAACTTATTTTACAATATATATATATATATATATATATATATAATGTTGTTATTTAAACTAGCTTTTTGGAAGGTTAAAGGAAAAAGTGTGCCAACCAAAAGTCCATGTCCAAATGGATGGATATGGGAATTTAATAATTAATAAATTAAGAATTGCTAGTATACACAAATATATAATTTAGTAGTAGAATGGCAGATGCCGTAGCTATTCCAGATAAATATGAGAAAAATGTTTTAAAGCTATAAACAGATTATTATTGTCTCTTGAGCCAATACATTAATTTGACTTCAAGGTTTTCATGCTTAGGCTCACACAAATGAAAAGTATTGTTGTAAGCTATATTTCAATGTTTTAGCTTAGATGTAAGCTAGAGGACTAGACTTAGCATTATTGTTATCAAATAATTGAAAGAACCTGTTAAACCGTATAACATACTAGAAAAATAATATTGGTTGTATGAGAGATTTTGAAGGAAACTTTATTAGGGAGGAAAGGAATGTGATTGAGATGCTAAACAATTTAGAGTAATGTTTTAAGTAATACATTTTATGAAGAGCCTTTTTTTTAAGGTGCAAAAGATTTATTTTAAGTTCAATTTATTTTTTTCAGATTATTATTGTCTCTTGAGTCAATACATTAATTTGACTTCAAGGTTTTCATGCTTAGGCTCACACAAATGAAAAGTAGTGTTGTAAGCTATATTTTCAATGTTTTAACTTAGATGTAAGCTAGAAGACTAGACTTAGCATTATTGTTATCAAATAGTTGAAAGAACTTGTTAAACCATATAACATATTACAAAAATAGTATTGGTTGTATGAGAGATTTTGAAGGAAACTTTTATTAGGGAGGAAAGGAATGTGATTGAGATGCTAAACAATTTAGAGTAATGTTTTAAGTAATACATTTCATGAAGAGCCTTTTTTTTAAGGTGGAAAAGATTTTTAAAATGGGTCAGATAATTTATGGATACCCTGCAGTTGATTCTGTAAATAGAAATCTTGTAAATAAGATCAAGAACGTTACTTGGATAAGGTCCTATTTAGAGTGCTTTGTGGAGTCTTAGTTCCCATACTAAGGAATTAAATCAATTTATTGGAAAGTGCATAGATGCACAGTTTACTAGAATGGTATCTGGTTAAAAAGTCTTAGGCTGAGAGAAAGAAAACAAAGTTTTGAACTTCCTTTTCTGGAGTGCAGAATTACAGGTGATTTGGTACTCAAAGCTGTTGAGCAAAAATACTAAAAATGCAAACAATTTTTGAGATAGAAGATGAGCTTTGTAATTCCAGATGCAGATTAGCTCTTTAACAATTTATTTTTTAGTTTAAATTTATAAACATTGGAATAGTGTGATGTATACTGTTAGTTCAAAATCATATTTTGTGTTTTTGTTTTTTCAAGTTCATTTATTTATGTAAAGGGATGAATTTAATTTTGTGTTAGGTGGTGACCTTAATGGGCTAAATAGGCTTCTAAATTTTTTTAAATTTATAATTTAAATATTGTTAGTTTGTAAAAACATATCTAATATCTAAATATTCTCATGTAAAAAATATGCTTTAATGTTTTATAATAAAAAACATAACGTAATTTTGAGCTTTTAATAGGCTGGGATAAAATGACAATATTGTAGTGATTACATTTTTAAATGTTTTATGTAGGTAACAGAAATACTTCTTTAGAGGGATGTTTATTATAATTTAAATGGTAAAGACCACAAAAAAGTAAAATATTTAAGTATTTGGTCTAATGTTGCATATATGTACTAGTTTCGTTTTAGGTTCACATATCGAATATGTAACAAATAGTTTTAATTCTTTTGGTCTCCCCCCCTCTCAGTGTCAAGACTTTGGGGTTATAACGCTAAACATCGAGTTCTGATACCCGTGTTGGGCAGAACACAGACAGTACATTGTGTAGTTTTGTGCTTAACAACAAAAAGTTCTCCAGATATTTCAATTGTTTACCTGATGACAGTGTTTCGGGACATCCTAAAATGGTCAGACACGAAGCTAGTCTATCCTCATCTGATAAGTCCCTTCTTCATGATGTTTAGTGGAAGTTTTTTTTCCATCATAGAAAAATATTTATACGTTAATCGTTTTCCCATTAGAATTAGATAATATCGATTTCGCCTTGAAGAAGAATTATAGAAGATGCCATATCTATTCTACATAATATCTTAGCAGTGGTGGGACTCAAATATTTTAACAACAGATTCTCTCACTAGCGGGATATAAAAATATTAAAAATTAAAAAAAAGGGGGGGCCAAAAAGGCCCCCCCCCCCATCACTGAGAAAATAAAAATAG